CCCGAACTTATCAAAAGCGCATTCATCATCTCTTTTAGTGTCCGATTCTTCCTCTCGGCCACTCCATTAGATTGTGGTGAATACGGAGCCGTCGTTTGATGAATAATACCGAACTCTTTGCAGAGCACTTTAAACGGGGCTACATATTCGCCTCCTCTATCACTTCGAATAGCTTTGATCTTTCGACTAAGTTGATTTTCAACTTCATTTTTATATGTCTTAAAGGCCTCTAATGCCTCGTCTCTACTCTTTAATAGATAAACATAACAATACCTTGTACAATCGTCTATGAATGTAATGAAATACTTCATCCCCGCTCGAGTTTGCACAAATTTTAAATCACATATGTCTGTGTGAATTAACTCGAGTGGACTAGTGCTTCTCTTCACCGGTTTAAATGGTGTTTTAGCCACTTTTGCTTCAACACATGTTTCGCACTTGTTGTGTGAATTAACTCGAGTGGACTAGTGCTTCTCTTCACCGGTTTAAATGGTGTTTTAGCCACTTTTGCTTCAACACATGTTTCGCACTTGTTGTGTGAATCAATTTTAACTTTTGGTATCAATTCCAAATTCACCAACCTTTTAATTGTGTTAAAGTTCACATGTTCTAATCTATCATGCCATAAATTAGAACACTCCAACAAATAAAAAATACTTTCTTTATTCTTCGCCTCTTGGTGGATAACATTCATTACATTCATCTTAAAAAGACCCTCATCTAGGTATCCTTTCGCTAAGAAGACACCATTCTTAGTCATTACAAATTTATCGGCCTCAAAGACTAATCTAAAACCGGCTTTGCTCAAAAGAGCACCGGATACAAGGTTCTTACGGATGTCCAGGACATGCAACACTTCCGTTAGCGTCAAGTCTTTGCCCGAAGTCATTTTCAGCACCACCTTTCCCGTTCCCACGACGTTTGATGTCGAAGAGTTGCCCATGAATAGCTTCCTTCCGTCGATAGGGGTATAAGACGAGAACATATCTCTATCCGTACAAATATGCGGAGTTGCTCCCGTATCGACCCACCATTCTCGTGGATTATTAACCAAGTTAACTTCTTGGACCACGGCGGTTAGATCGAGCTCAGATAAGTCAATGGGAACAGATTTATCCTCGGCTATATGTGCGCTATCTTTACCCTTCTTCGGGAGACGACAATCTTTCGCAAGATGCCCAGATTTACCACAATTGTAGCAATTCCTTTTGAACTTCTTGGTGCTCGTTTGAGGTTGCTTTCCCTTTGAAGTTCTCTTGCGGTTCTTATTAGAGCTTGACTCGGCCAAGTTTGCCTTAGCCTCGAAGTCGCTCCGGTTGGCCCTTACTTCAGATTTTCGATTATCTTCCTCAATTCGAAGTCGAACAATCAAGTCCTCCAATGTCATCTCTTTGCGTTTATGCATGAGATAGTTTTTGAAGTCCTTCCAAAGTGGTGGTAACTTTTCAACAATAGCTGCAACTTGGAAGGCTTCATTCACAATCAATCCTTCGGTCAACAAATCGTGAAAGATGATTTGAATCTCTTGAACTTGGCTTACCACCGACTTAGTGTCCACCATTAAGTACTTTAGGAATTTGCCGACGAGAAATTTCTTAATCCCGGCATCTTCTATCTTGTACTTCATCTCCAAGGAATTCCATAACTCCTTTGTCGTCTTAATCGGACTATAGACATTGTAGAGAGAATCGTCTATTCCTTTAAGGATATAATTTCTACACAAGAAATCATTGTAATGCCAAGCATCCGAGGTCGTACGCCTTTGCATGTCGGTCTCACTTTCGGGGACGATCAAAGGGTCCTCCAAAAGAAAACGAGAGAGGGAGAGAGTTGTGAGGTAGAAAAGCATCTTTTGTTGCACCTCTTGAAATCAGAGCCATTGAACTTCGGCGGACTCTCGCCTTGGACAGGAGCAGCTACCATCGGTATAGCGGTAGGTTGAGCATTTGTTTGGTTTCCTTCGGTTGCCATCTTATGAACTCACAAAAATTTCGTCTTAAGATTGTAGTTTACTATTGTTGTTTTGTATGTGTATTTCAAGGAAATGGCTTTAATAAATAGAAGGAATTTTGGTAAAACAAACAAAGTCGAGGCACGTAAGATACGCTTTCCTTAAGACGAAATAGCCCCGTATATTACCCACGGTTCACGGCTAACGCCTCCAAGATACGATGACTTTTGATTTGTGTATAGTGGTAACTCAAATACACAAACCTTCGGTGAACAATACTTAAGTTTCGGAACTCTCAAGATAGGAAAGAACACAAAGAACACAAGATGAATATGAACTTTGTAAAAAGGATGCAAATGTTGTGGAATAATTTGATGTTTTGAATGATTTCATGTTAGTAGGTATTTATAGATGTAAGGAGACACCTCCAAGAGGTTTAAGTGTCAAAAGACACCTTTGGGACGTGCCCGAACAAGAACGGATGTATCTAGTGGCCAAAAGATACCTTATGGTCACCAAGGGTTGCGACCCTTCGATTTCCGCAGCCAGTTGCGCGCCCGTGCGCCGCGGGCTCGTACGAGCTCATACGGACTCGGAATCGAGTTCTGTTTTTTCCTAGTTGTCCCCAACGAGCCCCACTACAATTCTAGCATACATAATGCATATTTATGGCTCGTTTAATTTATCCAAACATTTATTAAAATATAATGTTTGTGAACCCTACAACCTTTTGAGTTGTTTAAACTCAATTAATTAAAATACAACACTTAGAATTAATTTCTCATTCACCTTAAAAAGGTTTTGAGACTTTTCTAAGTATTCTACTTACGAAAAATAGAATCGTTAAATCGGTACAAAACCAATTTTTTCTTACACCTTAACCGTGGACTGCAGCCCCACGAACCTTTCCTACTACCATTGTTGAGTCGACCGAGACCTCCGACTTTCAGCCACGTCCTCGACCTGCGACCGGCAACTAAGGCTCCCTTCGTGCACGATCGTCCTTTCCTCAGGCAGCAAGCCACGCGGTCCCAGCCCGACGAACAACCTCTGGTCCTCACCTGCCGCTGCAACTCCGAGCAAGTGCATCCGCCGTTCAACACCCCGCGAGCACCCCGACGATCCCTACTGCGTACCACGTGGTCCTGACAAGCATCGACGCACCACCGCCGCGTTCTCATCACCCCGACGACTCCATTTTATGCTATACCAGACCAAAGGGAGATGTTCGTCGATCCCCGGCCCCCGGTGTGCCGCCCGCGAGCCATGCATAGCCGCCGAGCGCACCGGCAGCCCCCGTCTCGGCCCGCATTGATCCTTTCGAGTGCTTGAACCCGAGAACGGTACACCAAGGCTCGAAACCCTATTTGTTTATTCTAGTTTGCTTGAGTTATGTGAATTTTGTAAATGTTTTCGGCTTGTTAAATTGGTTATGGTCATGTCATATGTTGCTTGGAGGGATTGATGTTGAATTAGATAACCGAGCATGTTGGTAATGACTTTGTCTCTCTGGTTATATGCGTCAAATTGTAATTATATGATGCTTGGAGGCGGTTTTAATGTGTTGGTTTTGATTTGGGATTGTAGAATTTAAATTCATGAATTATTGAGATTTTTGCTGCTCTGTTCTATCGCTGTTATGAGCCCCAGAAATTTATATTTTAATGTTGGGTTCTTCATATGAAATCAAATTTGTTTTGTTAGCTTTCTCTTGGCTCTGGAATCATATGATTCCGACTTGAAATGAATAAGTTATGATTTTTACAAAAATGTCGCGCGTACAGTTTTTTTTTTTAGAAAACCCGGCAGCATGTTTGGTTAGATGTTTAACCCGGTTGTTGTGTCTTAATGTGCTAAAACTGAAAAGTATTCTTAATGAAAATTGTAATAGTTTGAGTTAGGTTTCTGTAAGTTTTGGAATTTCGATATTCAGAGTTGATTTGAATTTATTATGAATTTTTGTAGTACCTGCAAGCAGTTTTGTAATTCCGGGCAGATTTGAGGAATATGATGTTGGGCTGATTTTGATAATCTTAATATGAAAATATGGAAGTGTAATCATCATGAAACTTATATTACATGTTATAAGCTTTCATTAGGAGTTGAAATCGTGCAAATTAGAATTTTGGTTGATTTTATATGATTTTTCAAAGTTAGGGTTATGCCCAGAATTTTTAAAACAGTGGTTGTGTATATATTGAAATGTATGCGCTGAAATGAGGCCTTTAACGTGATTATCTGTAAAAATGCTCTTCTTGAAACTTGTAGTATTCCAAGTGTAGT